GGGCGCGGGCTTGGCGCGCGGGAAGAAGGCGGTGAGGCGGGACTGCGCCATGCGCCGGATGGAACGCTCGGCCCGCCGCGTTCTGGCGCCGCTACAATGTAGCGATTTTCGCGGGAAGCCCGCCCCGGGCCGTACCAACTCCCCGCCCCCCTCCCGCCGCGTGGTACGGCCCGCAGAATTGGCGCCAGTTTGCTCTTAAAGGCGCCGCGTCCCTCTTTTTGTTTTGTTTTATTTTGTTCCCTTTTCCTCCCAGCGGGAGGGGGGGGGGGGGGTCCAGTGCTCCACACCGCACAGCAATATGCACCTGTAGCGCTCTGGGCCTCAGTTTTCCCCACCTGTGTAATGGGCGCGTATGGTGCTCTGCTAGGGCTGGGATTGCAGGGGCCCCTCCGCGCTCCCAGCCCTGCGGCATGGTGCCAGGGTTGCCAACTCTGTTTGACCATTCCAGGGTGACATAAGGACACGAAGGACAGCGCTCGGCCCCGCGGAGAGCACGTGCTCGTGCAGCTCCGAGCGCCCCCGAGGCCGCCCCGCGAGCGCTGGGTGAATGCGTTGCACCCCCGCACGCTGAAGGCGTTCGTGGCCCGGACCCAAGGAGGGAAGGCGGAGCGGCGCGTCCCCTTCCCCTCCGGCAGCAGGCAGCCCTCTGGCCTCGTGCTTCCTCCGCGAGGAGCCGCTCCTTCAAGTAGCTGTTTGTTTTCCAGCCAAGGCAGTGACAGGCCTCGGGCCTGGCTCTCGTCAGGGCTTCCCAGCACCGTGTGATATTTTCCCTTCGCGCTCCCGCTCCGAGTGCGAAACCTGCTGGGTCTGAAGCTCCGTTTGTCACGGAAACCTGGACGCACGCGGCGCTCCCGCAGCCACGGGCTGCTCCGAACCAGAACGCGCTCGGTAAACTTCCCGGCCCCCTCCTGCCTCTCTCGGAGCGAGGCTCGGCACCACCCAAGTGCAGGCACTCCACAAGCAGCCTGCTTTTCCCCAAGGGGAAGGAACGCTCTCCGGTAGGAAGCCCCCCGGCATCGCTAGCCCGACTCAGCGGCCGGCACGCCTCTCTGCTGCATAAATCACCGTCAAGGTGAATTAATCCGGTCCCATGCCTTAGCGAGATCAATGGCTGTCACGGCCGTGATGGACGCGTTGGGCCGCGCTCGGAGAGACCGTGTCAGGATGACTGAAGACCTCATTCCGGCCGGGGATCCAGGCTGCTCTCGGGGAGGTCCCGGGCAGCTGCTTTCCAGGGATGCTTCCAGGAAAGCTGGACCTCGCCGCAAGGAGCCGAGCCCCGTGTGTGGGTAGCCCGTTCCGACCCCAGAGCCAGGAGGTGGATGCATCTGGGTCACAGCTGTTTCCACAGGCGAGTGATGATGGTGTGTTCCCAGCTCGGGGTCAGGGTGCAGCTGGAGCTGGGACGCAGCTGCTTTCTCCTGAGCTTTCAAGAGAAGACGTCCCTGGCGGATGCGGCCCTCCTTGGAGGGCACCTTTCCTCCTGCAGCACCCGTGCAGCAGGCAGGCAGAGCGCGGCACAATTACTGCTTGGAGCTGAGGGCAGCGGGGAGGGGGCAACGTGCCAGCAAGCAGGAGCTCGACTGACACCACTTCCCACCTTAGCCTTGGCAAGTCCCGGTCCTGCTCAGCCGGTGCCAAGCGAGTGTTGCGGGCCAAGCGCGGGCGGGGGTGGCGTGGGCTCGATTCCTCGTGTGTGCATGAAAGCCGTCCCCTTGCTGTGCCAAAGCAAAGGAAAAGCGCCCCGAAAACTCGTATCACCAAAGCACCCGCAGCTGAGGACACGCGCTCCACACACCTGTGCAGACAACACACCCCTCCGGGTGGGCCGTGTCTAGGCTGTAAGGACCTGGCGTTACTCTGGGTTGCCACCCTGGTGGGATGGGGATGAACGCATCTCCTCCAGCGCTTGGGACTGCTGGGGTCTCTTCCCAGCTACCTGCACGACGCTTCCCTCTGTCTCCCTCTGCGCCGCTCGCCCCGCTGTCCGGGAGGAGAGGACAGCCAAGCCCTCGTGCATGGGCGATGGAAGATGCTGGCGACAAGGGGGCTACTGCTGCGTTTCCTGGAAGGCCGGCAGCCGTGCAGGACACGGTGTGCCAGGCCGGAGTTTGTTTACCGCTGTGGTTCTGGGCGCCCGGCTGCTGCGGGTTCGCGGGCGCTTTGGTAATGGAGAGCCCTGTGGCTGAGCAGCGCTCGCCGGGATCGATAGCCAACTGGCCTGGCGCAGGGCGCGGGAGGGAAGGAGCCTCGGCGGGCAGCGAGGCGCGTGGCTGCAGCCCCCCGGGGCTGGTGGATCTGCAGCCTGCCCTGAGCAGCACCAAAGCCCACCTGGACTGCCACGGAGCGGGACCCTCCAAATGGCAAGGGGCTGATGCGCTGGGAGGAAAGCCCCGTTCCCGCCTTGCGTGGGCACAGAGCCACCCATGTCCGCTTCGGGTTTGTAGCTGCCCTGCCTGCACCCTGCGCGCCCGCGTTGGGTGGGCGGCGAGCCGCTGAGGTCGGCGTAGGTTTTCTAGACACCTTGTTTGCACCCTGGGCACCGAAGGTGGGTGGGCACAGAGCCACCGTTCGTGGCTTGCGGAGACCAGCGAGGGCTGCTGGGTTTGCCGGGCCCAGGGTGCAGGGAGTGGGGCTGGAGTGTCCTCCCTGGATGAGTCTGGGAGTTTGCAGCCCGCTCATGGGCAGGGCCTGGCACATGGAAGGAGCTTCCCTACTGCATGCCCTCCAGAAAGACCCCTTCCCTCCTGACCCTCCAGAAAGATTCAACCCTCCAGAAAGACCCCTTCCCTCCTGACCCTTCAGAAAGATTCAACCCTCCAGAAAGACCCCTTCCCTCCTGACCCTCCAGAAAGACCCCTTCCCCCTCGACCCTCCAGAAAGACCCCATCCCTTCCCACCCCACCAACTATGAAACTATGAAAGAGGGGCCAGGGCCCAGGCAGGACTTGGCTCTGACCCGTGTCAGCCCACGGGCTCTGTTAGTGCCGCGCTGCGGGGCGGCACAGGTAGTCGTGACCCCGGGAGTGTCGGTGACAGGTGAGGCTTTATTTAAGGGAAGTTTTTGCAGAGTTTCTTAGGAGTGAGAAGGCGTCGGGGCCGCCGGGAGGGGCTCCAGGGCTGTGTTACCTGCCTGGCAGAGCGTCTTTGCTCTCACGCGTCCCTGCTCGCGCCTCCCTGTCTAAAGTCTGCGCTTGTCTCCAGGCAAAGACGGGATTTCACAAATATCTTGAGAGCAAACTCCAGCTGCCCCCCCGGCACCGCTGCTCCGTCCCTGAGTTGTTTCGCAACCACGTGCCCAGGGTCTTGCGAGACGCTGGGGTTGCTAGAGGCGGGCGGCTGCTGGAAAAAAAATCTCAGCTGTCTTTCCAGGAGCCGCGCAACTTTGCCTCGCTCTGGACTTTCCCTCCCGTCCTGCCAGCCTTCAGTCAGTAGTAAATCCTGGGTCGTCTGTAGGCGTGGAGCTGGGGCGAAGGGGGAGACACCCCCCGCAGCTGCAACATCTGGCTCTCGGCTAGATCCAGGCCGTCACAAAGAGCTGCTCTAAGACCATTTTAAGCAACGTTATCCTCCGGAGACGGATCCACCGCCCCCCTCGGCCATCGCTTGGCCAGCAGGCTGGAAAATACCAGCGTCCCCAGCCTTCCCGGAGAGAATCGGCTCTTTCAACCTGCCCTCCCCAGCGAGGTGCGTTCGTGGACCGCAGGCTGTCCTCTCGCCGGGACACACGGGCTCATGAAAGGCCCTTTCGGGCCACGCCAGCCCGTCTCCCTGCAGAGGCAGGATCGTTCTCAACAACTTCCTTGTGTTTTGTCTGGCCTACTTTAGCAAAGGTCCCGAGCGGCAGGGCTTCCACCACTCCCTCGGGAGCGCAGCAGCGGCCAAGGACGTGTTTAGCTTCCAGCGGCTTCCCCGCCCGAGTGCCAGGCGGCCGGGCTGCTGGGAAGGAAGAGCTGTAGGCGTGAAAAGCCCCGGGGGGACTCTCCTGTTCTCTTGCTTGCTGAGCCGGGGTAGCAGGACCCGGTGGCATGGGTGGGGGGAAGGAAATACGACTGCAGCATCATGAGGTCAGAGGGCTGCCTCGAATGCACCAAGACCTGCTAGCGTGAGCTGAGATTTGCAGAGGTGCTGTGGGCCTCTCTTCGCTGCGGGCACGGGGCAGCTTCCGATTTGTTCCAGCATGTGCATGGGCTCCTGAGAAGTGACTCAGAGGCTGATGTGCAGGATGTGAAGGGTTTAATTATAGCTCGGCCTGTAAGAAGCACTGAGTGTGCAGCCAGGCACTGGGTCCAAGCCTACCTGTGTGCTCAGGGAAGGGAGATGCTGCAGGGCAGGAGCCGTGGCTCGGGCTGGAAAATCCCCTCCCTCCATTGAGGACACTGGCCTTTTCTCCTGGCTTCGGCGAGCTGGCATCACGCTCTGCCTTGCCAGGGTGCCCGTGCTGCTCTGGTTTTGTGGGCGCCACAGCAACAGCCTGCATGCTGTGGAGTCTCGTTAAGACAGTATGCTGGTCCCGACATGGTTTGTTCGTTAGGGAGGCTCTTTCGCCGAGGCCTGCCCGGTTCTTCCCTGCCCTGTCCCAGCGCCCCTGAGTGCTTCACTCGGTGAGTGCCCTTGCGTCCATGCAGCAAGTCCGGGCAGCGCCGTGCATGGGAGGGATATGGTCACAAAGAGCAGCCAGGCTTGCAGGACCGCTCTGGAAGACTCCTGATTCCCAGGCTGAGGCTCAGCCTCCTGCCTTCCCCCTCCTGTGCTGCTTCCCTGGGCCTCTGGCCCTATTTCCCCATTGCTCCCAGGTGCAGGGCACTTCCTGGGGTCTGCGCCCAGGCTGGCCAGCCCTGTCTCCAGTGCCAGGGACCTCCCTACGCCTTGCCCTCTTCCCCACTTCCCTTCCTACCCCCCAAGTTGGGCGGGCAACATGAACACCTCAGAGTTGGGTGTTCATGTTGCCCCCCGGATGGCATGTGGTGCACAGCAAAGGAGGGCAGAAGCATGTCAATGAGCACAGGCCTCCCCCAGCAACATGCTTCCGCTGCCTGGCCTCCCCGAGGCGTCGTGCAAAGCCCCATGGCCAAGTACCAGGATCCAGCTTCTGGCGCCTCGTGCCGGGGGCTGCAGCATGTTCCCGGTGGGGTGAGGGAAGGACACGCTGTCCCTGCCTGCAGGCAGCCTCGGTCAAGGCCGGGCCCCCCAGCCCAAAGCCTGGAATAGCAGGAGGTATTCTTAGCGCGGGCGGGCGGCTGTTTACCAGCCACCTGAGTTGAGCTGATGTTTTTTGTGCTCCATCCTCCTTCGCTGCTGCCCTGCCGCCTCTTGTGGTCAGGTGTATTTTTTTTTCCTCCTTTCTCATTTATAAAAAGAAATGTCAGCAGTGTCTGAAAGAGAGGAGCAGTTTCTCCGCCATGAGGACCCGGGCAGGAGGGGAACAAAGCTCCCTGTGCTCTCGGCGTGTGCACAAGACCCCTGACACTAGCACGCACGCCGTCCCCTGCCTTGTCCTGGCGTGCATCCCTGCATCTGCCCATCCCTGTCGGGCTCGAGGTCCTCACCTCCTAAATATTGACCCGTTCTCCCGCCCCTGTTCATCTGTCCCTGCTTGGGTGGATGACGGCTTCCCTTCTCCGCTCTGCCCAGCCCCCCGTTGCATTGTTTGGGAGCCTGCTGTCCGTACCACCTCATGAGCAACCTTCAGGAAAAGCTGCTGCGCAAACAGATTCCAGGCGGGCGGGCGGGCGGGGAGGAATGTAAACGGTCCCGCCATGCCAGGTCGCCAGCCTCGTCTGCCTTGTGTCTGTCCTGCCGGGCCTGCCAAAGGGCACTGAGGGTGGCTGGGGAGCTCCCTGCCCTGTTCTCATTGCAGAGGTCATTAGAGATGTGCCAGGTGCCCCATGCACTGCTGCTGCCTGGTGCTTATTGATGGCTGAGATAAAAAGCCCATCGTCTCAGGGCCGCTTCTGGACTCGCCGGCTGGCTCTGCCTGCCCGCGTCAAGGCTGCCCTCCGCAGCACGATGCCAGGGGCCGTTGGTATCGCCCGGCCGCAGCTCATGGCTGCGAAGGGCACGTGCCGCCCTGGGCTCCGTGCAGGATGCAGACCCGTTCCGTTATTTGTTCCCTGGTCCGGTCACAGGGAAGCGTGACACAGGGGCCGTGCTCTGCTCCCGGGGGCCACTTGCAGCCGGGCTGTTTGTTGAAGCCTGGCGTGTTTGACTTTGCTGCTCAAGCAGCCCAGATTTAGGGCTGCGAGTGGAAAATATGATGGAGGCTTTGGGAATGGAGCTGTTGTGAGGGGAAACTCCAGCGCACGGGGGGCTGGGAGGGATTTCGGGCTGCCTGGGGCTCACCTCCGCCCAACTCCTGGAGCTGAAGTGGGGCTTGCAAGTCTGTAGCTGCTCCACCGCCCTTAGCCATGTTCCCCAGTAGGAACTCAATTATATTAAGCCAGCTTAATCCCCTCTCTGCAAGTGGCAACACTACAGGGGAGACAGAGAGACTCCCCTGGTGTGAGCACGTGGATTAGGCCACGGGACTTGGCACCCACTCCCATCTCAGATCAGGCCTCTTTCTCTCATCCTGGACCTGCTGGGCTGGGACCTCGGGCTCCTGACCAGGTTTGTTCAGTGCCTGCCGATCCCAGCCACCCTGGGGGTTAAGTGCCCAGCCTGGGAAGACCGGCCCAGGGGAGAGATGTCTTGTCCGGGGGTTTCTGGCTCTCCAGGGAGCGGGCAGTGCTCTGAGCTGGTGCAGCCCTGGGGGTCTCTGGGCCCTGCGCCTGCCATGCTGTGAGGGTGGGGTCTGAGGCTGGGGTCTTCCCTTCCCAGCTTTCGGGAAGAAGCAGGCTGGGCCTGGCACTCACTGCAGGGGCTCCCTTCCCTGGGGCTGAAATGAAGAACTGGGCTGCTTCGTGGCTGGGGCTGAACAGTTGCAGGCAGGTCAGGGCTGGAAATCCCCATGCTGCGCTCCTGGCCCCACCTCCAGCTCACATCAGTGTCCCCCTCCTGCCAGCGAGCATGACACATGCCAGCAGGGCCCCAGGCAGCGGCGTGGCCTTGTGGTTAGAGCGCAGGGCTGGGCAGGTGGGACAGGAAGGGGGGGCTGGTTCCGGCGTTGCTCCAGCTATGCCGCTGCCCCGCGGCGCAGCCAGAAGCTCGCTGGACCCCTGCACTTCCGCATCCCTGGCTGCAGAGCAGAGATAAGGGCTTGAGCGGCCGAAGGGTGGGGAATGAGGTGGGATCTTGGCCCGCAGCGTGCTGGAGCCTGGGGAGAGTGGGGCCACATCCGGGCTCCAGAATGGGCACCACCCATGCCCAGGGAGATGCCCCGGCTGTGCCACTCCTCTGCCATGCCAGGCCGTTGATGCCCCTGCTGCATCGGCGGCCTGGCTTCAGCCTGAGATGTCTGCTCTCCCCCAGCTGGCACCCTGGCCCTGGCTACAGTACTGAGA